GTGGGGAGGGCAGCGCTGGGGCTGCCGGCCTTGGCCCAGCCGCTTTCCCCCTCCTGCCGTAAGCAAAAGACCGGCATGGTTTTTCCGTTGCAGGGTCAGACCGACAGCGCTTCTCTGCCAGGTTTTAGGCTTGGAGTGGGTGGTGAGCTGCTCTTTGGCATTTAAATCCCATTTAAATCCCTTACAAGTGTAGTGGAGTAGCCCCAGGGCCATTTGCTGGTTCTGTTTGTAGAGAAGCGATGGCTTTAAGGGGCCCTGCTCCTCACGATTGCTCAACCCGTGCTGCCAGCTCTTGTTTAGTGGCCTCAAAGACCTGTCAACTCTGATAACTGAAACCCAGTACCATGGGCATCTGATTGCCCAAAATCTAAATGACACCGGCCCCCAGAGTCACTGTGAGGCTATCTGGCCTAACGCTGGCTGTTTTTCAGAGGTGGCGTATTCCCAGAGCACTGGCCAGAAAGAGCAGCTGAGCCGCTGCCTGCAGCGAGGTAAGAGCGTGCTGTTCGGTTTCCTTTACACCCCGATTGTCTCTTGCTGCTGCACTAGCTTGTTTAACATGTTTCTAATGCTCTCTGAAACGGTAAAAGCCTTCGGAGCTGACGGTAAAGCATGAAGGTGGCTGTTAGTTCTGTGTCCAGCCAGTGCCTGCCTTCAGCAAATGGCCTCACCTGCACGAAGGGACTTGGGACATCTTTGCACGCTGTCTGCAGGGCTGCAGGAACTGGGCTGCTCTCGCGCCTTTGCCCGCGGCAGGGTGCTGGCTGCAGTGTGATACTGAGGAGAGGTGGGTATCAGAGGCTGCCTGGGCTGATCTTTAAGGGGGGGTGTCTTCTCACAGGGATCAGGCGGGTCCAGGATCTCTGTAAAGTCCTCCAGCTCCCAATGGTGTTTGAGGAAACGGCGGTGTCATACTTCCAGAGAGCTCTGCAGCACCCTTGCTTCCACCTGGTCAGTCTGGAGAAGAAGGAGCTCCTGGGGGGCTGCTGCGTCTTCGTGACTTGTCGACAGCACAACTGGCCCCTGACGATGGGGACGATCTGCTCCCTCCTTTACGCGAAGCAGGAGCTGTTTGCCAGTGTCTACCTGAGCCTTCAGAAAGAGCTCGGGCTCTCTGTGCCGGCTCTGAGCCTGGGGGATCTGGTGAAGACGCACCTGAACAGGTAACGGGGCCCCTTCCAGCCATTTCAGAGACCTGCGTTTGACACCACGGGTGGAAGAGCTTCTGAAACGTGGCCGTGGCCAGGCCACGTCCCAAGCACACACAGGGTGACCTGTGCTTTTACACAGGTGTGTTGTTGTCGAGTGCTCTAAGGCAAAACTGTGTCATCTGGAGAAGTATCCCCTCGGAGAGTTTGCAGCCCTGTGTGCTAAGTGGGGACAAATCTACCGGCAGCCCGTTAGGCTGGGTGGCAGTACTGGTGCAACAGCATCCAAAATTTGTGATGTGGGAGTGTGCTCTGTTGTCCCTTGAATGACAAACTTCATGGAGTTCTTGCTCCGTCCAGCAATCGTAGTACAACAGAGTAGCCCGGAGGTGGACGCGAGCAGCCGAAGGAGCAGGACTGGTGTTCGCTGATGGGCTGGGGGTGGTGGCCCATGTGTGTGCTGGGGTTTTTACAGCCTGTGATGGCTTTTTTGCCTCCCTTGTCACAGTTTGGGCTGTGATTCTTCTCTTCCTGCCTCTTTCTCCTCAGTTTGGTGAGTGGGCAGTGCAGCACTTCGCTAGGTTACGTGAGCAGAAGCCCATTGCAGGAGTAGGGTGTGTTTGTCCTCAAGGACCTTCCTGCACCAGCTCCCACCTTCAGCTGGGTTACTGAGGCGCTGCGTGCTGAGGCTTCCCTGCGCCCCGGTGCTAACGACGGGCTCTTTGCTCTTGCAGTTTTCGGCTATTCCAGCACACAGCCGATGTCCCTGCCACATTTGTGGAGGACAAGGAGAAGATGGTCGCCCGAACGATGCAGATCGTGGAGCTGGCCAGCGAGACGTGGCTGGTCACCGGCCGTCACCCTGTTCCCATCGTCACGGCCGCGGCCTTCCTGTCGTGGCAGTCGCTGCAGCCCACTGCCCGCCTCACCTGCACTTTCGCGCGGTTCTGCAAGCTGGCGGGTGTTGATCTGCCGCCGCCGGCGCACCTGAGGCTGAAGGAGCTTCTCGAGATCCTCCTGAGAATGGCCTCCCAGCTCGCTTGGCTGAGGGTGTTTAACATGGACAAGAAAACAGTGGTCAAGCACATCGGGGACCTGCTGCAACA